TTGAGACTTCTAAAAGAATGAGTCAATCATATGATGAGCGAAAGGTCAACCCGTTTTCGCCCGAAACAGGGCAGGATGCCTCGTGGACTGCGTCAAACCGAAAGTTGTATTAAAGCCAAACTTCTGCAGTTGTCGTTTTATGATAATATTGGCCAACAAATCTCTTCTTCATACACTTTCATACGAAAGGGAAGTCCTACAAAATGAAAATCTTATTTAAGAATGCCTAATAAGCACGTGGGCTACTTAAATTAAATATAAGTAGTAAAGTTCCACTAAGGTGTGCATGACCCATTCTTGAATCAGTTGGGAATGCTGATGAGACGTAGATGATGTCATGAGTATGTAAAGCTGAGAAAGCCATAAGAAGACGATGCCAAGAGAGCTTCAAGAACATCGTAAGTACTACTCATTGCATTTGTATAAATACTCCATTATTAGTCCTTCCATTTTTTTAACAGACCTTGGCTGACAAAGTCCTTATGTCGTCTATGTTTGCGGCGCAGATACAAATCAAGCTGTACGGCCTCCAAAGACTCGAATCGACCTTGTACCTTGGACCCTTTAATTCGGGCCATCATTTTCTGCCATGACTAGCTTTAATAAGCCTCGATCTCATCTTTTGGGCTTCAGAGCCCTGATAGTTTACATACGAGAAAGCTCTAAAGGGCCCTTTATCAACATTCCAAAGTTCTCGTCGCCTCTGCAGTATGTGTTCGAATGATTTAGTCACGTGGTCTTTGGACTTAAGTCCTTGTTTCAACCCAATGGAACTTTGCAGCTAGCTCCTAAATGTCGACAATTGAACACCCGAATGAGCAGAGGTCCAGCGAATTTCTTGTTCTCTATATGCAAAGTGTGAATTATTTGCTGACAGAACTAGAAACGAGAAGGTTTTGTGCCAAAGGACCGAGTGAAGAGACTTTGAATATCGCCACAGCAACTGGCCTGTTGTAGGATCATATCCACATCGTTGCTTACTTCATATGCTAAAATTTCTTACTATTAGCACGGACAAGCTTTATGTTACCGTTTCGCATATGTATAGTATTTAGAAAGCCTTCATCTTATCTTAACCCTTCTAGTTACTATGACCTACTACAGACAAATAAAATGACATTAGATATATTTTTCACGCTTTCATGTGAAGTGTGAAGAAATGTGAAATGTCTCCCTTAGCCCGTGGGCTAGAGCCAAACTGGGTTGGAAAGTGACAGGTAGGTACTACGACCTATCTTGTTTCTACGTCACTGCCAGGTTGTATTCGGGTAGGCCTTAGTATGGGCGCCAAATGTCCAGCCTCTTGGCTAGCGCCGTGCTGCCGTCGTCTCCTCACACTCCCTCCTCCTTCGTGTCCCCACCTCCACTCCCCTTACTTGGCCCCTTCTATAGATCCATGTGCTTAGGGTGGCAAATTAAGTGAGGTGTGGAAATGCGTATACATTAACAGGCCGAGGGATAAATAGTAAATTGCCCGGCAAAACACTCATAAATTCTGTCGAACTCTCTGGGGCCATGTATCCTGGACACTTGTGTGCAATAGGTCTTGGCACCGACTGTTTACTGCTCGATTGGGCCGTCAAAGTTGGCCGGGTTCAGCACAAAGGTGGGCAGCACAGGTAGTGTCACATTCGAGTGTATTTGTGTGTGTGTGTGTTTGGGACCAAGTGCAAGTGGGGTAGTTTGAGTTTGCAGGTACAGGTGGACCGGGCGCTGCTACAGCAGAGGCAGGAGAGTCAATGCCATAATTTCGGTCCGTAATCACGATACAGCCTTGTTGACATGAGTAATAGGTTAAGTCAACCGGGGTATATGAGACCGGGCTGACTTCAAGGCGAAACATGGGGGGAGGATGCGTACATGCAAATGTGTCTGTTTGGGTCAGGAGACCTCTTTAATCGTGTAAACCAAGCGCCACAGTTTGGACCTTCTTAAGTGGTCTTGCCGGCCCCACATAATGCCCGTAAAGGCGTATTCCGGACGTCCCCAACTCCACATGGGGTTGAATTTCTGTATTTATACCATCATGTATACCATGTGCATATATGCATATACCATCATGCTTAATGCCACCATAGGCTAGACTGGGGGCAGGCTGGGCAAATATTTTTCGCATAACCCTTTAAGCACGCAATTAAGATCATTCAACCGGGTCTCTCTCTAGTTTGCAAGTGGGCTACTTAAGATAAAGAGGTAAGTGGCTTTAAGTTGACTGGACCAGGCGTGTTTTCGGCGCCAGAGACCCGAAGTTATAGGGTTGCCCATGCCTTGTATCATTGCATGCTTTTAGATGAGGCGGAAACCGTTATTGGGTGGGTTCTGTTGTAGACAAAAGCTCAGCTGAACTGGTTTATTTTCAACGTTGTCTTTCTTCCCTCGAGTCGCAATGACCAATTCATCTTTGTCTGTTATAACAAACTTTAGTGGGGTTTTCGGACTTAACCAATGGTGTGGCCCTCCCCTTAATCCATTTGATGTCGAAGGAGTCAGTAAATCACGTCCAAAAGTGGTTGTAGGCTTGTTCTTATCATCGAAACTTCCTGGTACATGCAATCAATCAGGTCTAAATGCAACTATGATATCTCATAGGCTTTATCAGCAGCCCCATTGGAATTCGATGTTGGTTGCGGGTCAAACAAAGTCAAATTATACATCTACTAATGTTTAGTTTACTTACACTTCGAGTAAAAGTGTGCAATGAGGAATTTCGAGGAGGCCTCTTGGTCAGCCGTCGATTGGTTGTACTGTAACATTCTGGTTTTAGCAGTTCTCGAGGCAATCTCCTTCAAATCTGGTGAGAATATGCTAACCTTTCGTCTGTCATGATATGCAACATAAGAACGGAGAATATATGTAAATCAGTGTGAAAGGATAGTCCCATATGTTTTCTTTACCTGCTAGCTTGAGTTAGTTGTATGGATGATACACGGATTTGAGGATGTCGTTCATATGACAGAGGAAAACATTGTGAATGCTCACAGAAATCAAAGTAGATTGCCTTGGCGACAGTGCCAACCAGAATGCTCTACTAAAGCCAACCAACAGCTGACTAAGAGGATCCCCTTTTGTCTTCTGAAGGGATCGATGTTCGAGTCTCCTCCTCATACACTTTCACGCTAAATGTAATAAGATCATCAATCGTAAACCCAAATATTCATTGTCTTCTTTTACTACTTGACAATTCACGTATACGAATACCAAACTCAAGCTTCCTTTGAGTTTATCGTTTGACTCAATTTTCGTGACTTTTATTACATTTTCAGACAGACCTCAATTGCTATATCCTACTTTTAATTTATAAGAAGAATTCCGAGACTACCAGTAAATCAGTTATATGAGATGTATTCATCCTAGTTCATTTAAGGTGATGAAGGATGGGTAGTAGAATTTTCCCACAATGATATGAGTAGAGCTGATGTTTCCACTGAATTTCACAGAGCCTTACTTTCCCAAAAGTTGTTCACATCCAGAATCGACGGCAGTTTCGACCTCGCCTAGGTCCTATCAACAGCCACAACGGGATTCGATCTAGGAAAGAATTTGATATAGGAAAATGCTTGGCCTTTAAATGCTCATCTGCCCTATAACCCAAGGGCACTCGTGGCAATGTGGCGTAGTGATCAACTTGTGGAGGTTTTACGCTGGGCTGTCATGGTTCGAATCCCGCTGGGGGTGTTGCTAAGACCTAGGCGAGGTCGAAACTGCAGTCCACCCTGGGTGAGAACAACTTTTGTGAAGGCAAGTTTATGTTAAATGCCATGGAAACATCGGCTCTACTCATAGCATTGTGTGAGTAAATAGAGTGAATACATTTCATGTATGTGGTATAGCCTATACCTTATTCACTGTCATTGTTGTCATATAGCTCAACTTTTTATTTAAAAAAATACTTGGTTGAAAGAAGTTAGTGTGTTGGTCTCACTGAAAACGGCAGGAAAACTACACTGAAATGAAAACCATTCTGCGACCCTGCTTTGGTCTGTCCTGTCACGATAGACACCGTGAGAGCAAGAAGCCAAACTTGAAGAAAAGGCGCATCATTAAATTAAACCGAAAAAAGGTGGCCAACTTACTCAATTCTTGAAAATAATTTTGCTATCTTGGTCAGTCATCCCATAATTTAGGTGGTTACATTATTATTTTGGTGCACTTTTTCGTAAATTCTGGCTTTCTACTTTGATGATTTCAGTTACGTGATTCGAAGAAAAGTTGGGTTTCGAGGAGTCTCTTGTTTCATAATTATTATGCTTACTTCCATTCCAAGTGACAGTGTTTGGTGAAGAGATTCGGAGGTCAATTCCACCAGAAGACTACGGCGGATTCCTCTTGTCCAGCTGTCGATTGGCTTTACTGAAACATTCTTGTTGGCGCTGTTTCCGCTCGGTTTTCGGTGAGACCATTTTCAAAATTCCTTCCAACCAAATTTTTTATTCTAAATGAGATTTTATGTCACAATTCTTATTCACTTTGCTGTGCGATCAATTCACTAATTCCTTCCAAATAACTTTTCCATCGAGATGAAGAGTCGCGTTACAGTAGATCAAATTTATGTTAGACATTACAATCGACTCTAATGCTACCTGCCGAATGAGTAGACCTGTGGATTTTGAATAGTAGCACCAGAGACGCTCATTAACCTCGTGAAGCCATCAGGTTTGGAAAGACTCCTGTTCTAGCTCACGATCTACAGACAGTTGCAAACCTACTCAATCAAAATAAATTGGTCCTAATGAAAGTTCAGATCGAAGGTGTACATAGAGAATCTCTGGTATCTCAGATGGATACTTTCATATACCCCTAGGCATCCAAACTGGCTTTCATAGGCATGTTTAAGGCAGAATTTGTCCCTGTTCAGTTTGATATCTGACCAACCAACAAATGCCTTTGGCCCTGGGGCAAGGTGATTAATCACCTTATCTGCAAAGACCGAGGCATGACAAGTCAACCACATACGTAGCAATCTGAGGTCTGTCTGTTACAAAACCCCTTGAATTAATTTAACATGGGGTAAACAGACTGACAAGCAAAGGAAGCCGGAAACGCTATTTTGTCGGGATAAACACAGCTGGGGCTACTTGTCAGAAACTTTTGCTAATACTCAAGGCCGTTGGAAAATAAATGGAGATTTTATGACAGGAAAACGACTGTTTTTACAACAAAGGTTTTCTATTCGATGTGTGGCCCATTTCACATTAGCGGTTAGACAATATCAGACAGATACATCCAGTTCTCAGACAACATTATTCGAGTGTAAATATACGAGCTGGGAAAAGGTGTGTAAACATAAAGATAGTGGAGATCGTTGACTTCCTTACGTTGGATCAATCAAAACAAGAATCATCTAAGGAAGTTGGCACTTAAGCCTGTGCTGCTCCGTTTATCGAAATATTAATCGGCATTTCTTTGTTGAGCTTACTTCCATTTCGAGTGAAAGTGTTGGGTGAAGAGATTCCTCTTGACCAGCTGTCGATTGGCTTTACTAAAAGATTCATGCTGACGCTGTTTCCGAGG